TCTACTCTGCCTGTGTTTTATGAATGGAAAAACAAAGCCTAGATGACAGCACATTATTTTTTTAAATATTTTTTTAGTTTTCAATGGACCTTTATTTTATTTAGATGTGGTGCTGAGAATCGAACCCAGTGCCTCTCATACATGCTAGGCAAGCATTCCACCACTGAGCCACAAACCCAGCCCATGACAGCACATTATTTACAAGATGATTTACAGAATATTTTAAGCCTACTATTGAGATCTACTATTCAGAAAAAGACTCCTTTCAAAATATGATTGAATTCATCAACATTGTACCTAGTCACCCAAGAACTCTGATAATGTATAATGAGATTAAGTGTTTTCATATCTAATATGATGTTCATTCTTTAACCAATAGTCAAGGAATAATTTCAACCAACTTTTTTTTTTTTTTTTTTTTGCTATATAAGGATTGAACCCAGGCATGCTTTTCCAATGAGCTACATTCAAGCCCCCTTTTAAATCTTTTATTTTGAAACAGGGACTTGGTAAATTGACAAGGCTGGCCTTGAACTTGTGATCCTCCTTTCTCTGCCTCCCAAGTAGCTGAGATTATACATATGTACCACTATTTCCAGCTAATTTCAACTTTCAAGTCATATTATTTAAGAAATAAATTTTGTAAGGCTATAACTACCATGATGATTCCTCTAATGGATTTGAGCAAAATAAATTGAAAACCTTCCATAAAGGATTTGCCATTCTAGATGCCATTAAAATAATCTGCGATTCACTGCAAGAGGTCAAAATATCAATATTAACAGGAGTTTGGAAGAAGTTGATTCCAATCCCCATGCATAACTTTAAGACTTCAATGGAGGAAGCAACTGCATGCAGATGCGGTGGAAATAGAGAATTAGAATTAAAAATGGAGCCTGGAGATTTTACTGAATTGCTGCAATCTCATGATAAAACATTAACAGATTTGTTTCTTTACAGATTAACATTAACAGGAACTGTTTCTTATAGATGAGCAAATATTCTTGATGGAAATTATTTCCAGTGAATACAACTGAAATGAAMTCCAAGGATTTAGAATATCACATAAACTTAGTTGATAAATCAGCAGCAAGGTTTGAGAGGAATGACTTAATTTTAAAAGAAGTTCTGTCTGTAAAATGCTATCAAAACAGTATCACCTGCTACAGAGAAATCTTTCATGAAAAGAAGAGTCAATCAATGTGCAAAACTCACTGTTGTTACCAAGTATGGTAGCACACGCCCATAATCACAGTAGATTGGGAGGCTGAGGCAGGAGGATCTTTGGCTGAACACTAAACTGCACATGTGTACTGTGTGATTCCATGAGGCAAATTCAAACCACCCTCAACAACTTGTCAATGTCCTAAGCAACTTAGCAAGACCCTGTCTCAAAATGAAACATAAAAAGAGCTGGGGGGACTGGGGTTGTGGCTCAGTGGTAGAGTGCTTGCCTAGTATGTATGAGGCACTGGATTTGAACCTCAGCACCACATAAATATAAAATAAAGATATTGTGTCCACCTAAAACTAAAAAACAAATATTAAAAGAGAGAGAGAGAGAGAGAGAGAGAGAGAGAGAGAGAGCGAGCGAGCGAGCTGGGGATGTGGCTCAGTAGTTAAGTGCCCCTGGGTTCAATCCCTGGTACCAAAAAAAAAACCACTGTTACCTTATTTTAAGAAATTGCCACAGCCACCCCAACCTTTAGCAACCACAGCAGCCATCAACATTACGATAAGACACTCCACGAACAAAAATATTATGACTTGGGGATGAGGCTGTAGCTCAGTGATAAAGTGTTTGCCTCACATGTGTGAGGCACTGGGTTCAATCCTCAGCACCACATAAAAATAAATAAAGATACTATGTGTTCATTGACTTAATGAAAGCTCAAATGATCGCTAGCATTTTTTATTATTTTATAAGTAAAAGTATTTTCTAATTAAGTAAGGTATGTACTTTTTTTAGACATGATACATGGCACTCATAATATACTACAATATAATGTCAACATAACTTTTATATTCACTGAGAAATCAAAACTCTCCTGTGGCTCATTTTATTGCATTTTTTTCCTCTACTACAGTGGTCTAGAACTGTACTAGTTGGGGCTTCCCAACTTATAGACAACAAATCAAACACCCAATCTCTGAGGACTTCTTCCAAAATTTTTTGATGTAATACTACAATAAATAAAACTGAAGTGCACATCACTAGAGACTGACTGTCTAAGCCCCCCACACTCACCAAATTCATATGTTGAATCCAAACCCCAAAATGGTGTTATTAAGAGATGGTACTCCGGGACCCGATTAGGTTAAGGGGTTTCCCCATGACTGGGATTAGTACCATTTAAGAAATACTCTAGAGAGCTCCCTTACCCTTTCTACATGTGAGGACATAGTGAGAAGACTAAGATGTATAGACCTTCACTAGACACTGAATGCCAGAAACTTGATCTTAGAATAACGGCCTCAAGAACTGCATGCAACAAACGTCTACTATTTATAATTCACCCAAGCTATTTTATTTTGTTACAGCAGCCTTAACACAAATAACTATGCCTATTCAACCTTCATCTTCCTGTCTTATTTCTTTAAAGAGAAGTACACAAAGAACTCCAAAAAATTGCTTAGTGGGGCCTGGGTTGTAGCTCAGTGGTAGAGCACTTGCCTAGCATGTATGAGGCACTGGGTTTGATCCTCAGCACCAAATAAAGATAAATAAATAAAATAAAGGTATTGTGTCCATCTACAACTAAAAACATTGTAAAAAAAATTGCTTAGAGGTCCCCTAAGTCTTTGGTTGAACACTAAACTACACATGTGTAGTGTGTAACTCCATGAGGCAAGTAGAAAATACCTGGGTAACTGATCTAGATGATTCTTAAGAGTTCATACAGGGCAGTAAGATGTTCAAGTTTTAACCAGTCAAAATGGGAAGACCTAACTGAACACCCAAAGCATTCCAAAATAGACATTCCAAAATCGCCCCAGAATAGAAGGTACCAAGACATGCCTTAATAAAGCTTGAAAACAAACTTTGAAAGATAATGCTGATATGCAAACAAATTGCCTACAAAAACAAAACTTAACACTCTTTAAGGGAAGAAAATGAAATCCAGAGACTCAACAACACACTTCTCATAATATCTAACATCCAATCAAAAGTTACCAGATATATGCCAGGTTACACACACCTGTAACCCCAGTGGCTCGGGAGGCTGAGGCAGGAAGATCATGAGCTCAAAGCCAGCCTCAGCAAAAAGTAAGGCACTAAGCAACTCAATGAAACCCTGTCTCTAAATAAAATACAAAGTAGGGCTGGGGATATGGCTCAGAGATTGAGTGCCCCTGAGTTCAATCCCCTGTATCCCACCCCATTCCCCCAAAAAAGTTAACAGACATGTAAAGAAGTAGGAAAACATGATCCAAAATTACAAGAAAACTCAGTTAAGAGTAACAAATCAAGAAATGACTGAGATAATGGGATTTGCAGATAGACTTTAAATACCTGAATGGCTGACTAGCTACCCACATGGATAAACAAAAAGATTTAAAGAAAACAATACTAGAAGAAATCAAAGCCACAAAAAAGAATCAAAGAGAACATGTAGTACTGAAAAATACAAACCAAAACAAAAAAAATGTACTGGATGAATTTAACTAAAGATTATAGACACTAAAGGAGAAAAAGATAGTAAACTTGAAGACAGGATAACAGAAACTATTTCAAAGGAAGCACAATGAGAAAATTTGTATGTTTCCCATACAAATTTTTTTTTCTCTGAACACCATTATTTAGCTTGACCTTTAAAACTATAGTCTTACACTGGGCATGGTGGCACATGCCTATAATCCCAATAGCTTCAGAGGCTGAGGCAGGAGGATCACAAGATCAAAGCCAGTCTCAGCAACTTAGTAAGGCTCTGAGCAACTTAGTGAGACCCTGTCTCAAAATAAAAAATAAAAAAAGGCTGGGGATATAGCTCAGTGGTTAAGTATCTCTGGGTTCAATCCTTGAAAAAAACTGTAGCCTTACCCTATCCTGTTTTATATAGAACTTCATATTAAGTCATTCAGAGTTTTTCAGTTGCTTCATTAACTAGAAACTAGATTCAACACCCCCACACAAAAAAAATCCTGCCATTGAGTACAACTATAATGCACCAACCAAAAATATGGGGAGGAAAAAACTTCACACAAAACAGGTTGGAGTGCAAGGCACGGGAAGGAAAAAAAAGAAGTAAAGCAGGAAACAGTCCTATCAAAGAGGAAAGAGTAGATTTTCCTAAAAAAACAAAGTAGGTCAGGAAGATCACAACTGTCCTGCAGACACTACCCCAAGTCACACACAAGCTACCAGCTCTCCTTACCCAGACCACAAGGAAAGACTGTATGACTCATTGATATTATATGGAAAACATCTCCTGAAAACTGAGTACAATACAGCACAAGCCTTGATGCAGAAAAACCCAGTGGCATATTCAAGCTCTGTCACTTATTAGCTGCTTGACCTGCAGTTCATTTAAAATTCACAACAGCCCTATGAGATAGGTCCTATTAGGATCACAAGAAGATTACAGTGTTTACCCAAAGTAGTGCATTCAGGAAATGGGAGAGAAAGGATGTGAATCCAGGCCTCCTACATTGAACTGCCTCTTCAAGTATACATCCTATCTTGAGTATGTGACACATACTCTAGCAGTGTTCCTACAGGGAGAATATGAAATCAAGATGCTCATGCTAAACCTCTACATGTCATGTCTAATTCTGGCCCTGGCCCTCAATTAGATTCAACACCCCCACACAAAAAAATCCTGTGGAAAGATACTGCCCTACAAGGGAGAAAAAGGAAGAAGACAAGTCACCTGTATTCCCAGAGCTAAATAAATACCAAGATAAAGAATTGGTGCTTTACAAATGAGAACTAATATGGATAAACCCAACCACCAGTTGTTAGGAGAGAAAGAAGGAATCTGCAGAGGAGGATTTCCTACCTGGGGAGCGCTGGTGGTTCCTGAGGGACTACAGTAGCACCAGCCGCTGCTCCTGGAGCTTCTGCCTCCTCCAAGCCACCAGCCACTTCCTGTTCAGCATCCTGTGAGCCTGAAGGCTGCACTTTCTCTGCATCCCCAGGCCCACCTAATTCTGCAGGAGAGTCAATCTCTATTTCCTGAACTGGGACTGGGACTAGTTCCTTCTCAGCTGTACCAGTTACCACAGCCTTGGCTTCTTCTTCTTCTTTTCTTCTGATTTTCTCTTCAAGTTCCTTCCTTCTCTTCTCATCATCCTGACGGGCCATTTGATCAAAGGTTTTAAATACCTAAAATCAAACAGTAATCCAGCAGTCAGTTCATTTGCCCAGTACCGTCCCACACATCCTGTAGAAATATAGAAAAAATAAAATACAGAATAAAAAAGAAGTAAACAGAAAACTTTTCTTTGGAAAAATGGAAATGTGCTGCAACTTCACCAAAAACCTTTAAAAGTAAAGTATCAAAACCAACAAAATCAAAAACAAGCTAAGACTAACAATATTTACATAGATGATCCTAGCTATCATAATTTTTATAGCCCCCAATCTTAGTCACAATGCAAAGAACATTCTCCTGGTACTGTGGGTCTGTGAGAGTGCCAACAACTCAGACTCAAAAATGAAAGATGAGGGGCTGGGGCTTGGGCTCAGTGGCAGAGTGCTTGCCTAGCACGTGTGAGGCACTGAGTTCAGTTCTCAGCACCACGTATCAATAAATAAAATAAAGGTTCATTGACAACTAAAAAAATATTTTTAGAAAGATGAAAATATAGTTGAACTTCAATCCTCAAAATGCACCTATGCTGGGCTGGGGTTACAGCTCAGTGGTAGAATGCTTGCCTAGCATGTGTGAAACACTGGGTTTGATCCTCAGCACCACATAAAAAATAAATTAAAAAAATAAAATTATTTAGCTGGGCGCCGTGGCCCACACCTGTAATCCCAGCAGCTGGGAAGGCTGAAGCAGAAGGATAGCGAGTTCAAAACCAGCCTCAGCAATAGTGAAGCACTAAGCAACTCAGTGAGCCCTGTCTCTAATACACAATAGGGCTGAGTCCCCTTGAGTTCAATCCCCAGTTCTCCCACACACATATACACAAAAAAAAAAGTGTTTAAAAAAAAATGCACCTAATCTTACTGAACTGCTGCTACCCTCCTACACTGTGAGGGCTGAAAGGAGGCATGGGCATTCGATTCTACAAACATCCACTGTGTGCCTAACAATATATGAGGAACACAAAATCAAAAACAAGTTTCTACATTTGCAGATCTGGTGTGTAGACAAGTCCTTACCATTTTCTGTAACTCAGTCATACCCCTGAAGATACTCAGACCCCTCCATCAAAAGAGTATAAAGTTAAAACAGACCCACACCCAACAACTCTAATACAAGAGGGGCATGATGAAATACTTGATATCCTGTCAAGACTGCAGGCAGGAATGAGCACTTCTGATGAAAGAAATCAGAGGAAGTAGAAAGGGGATCTCAATTGGACCTGAAAGAAGAGGCGTATCTTCCAAATGCTACAGCTCTAAGAAGTAGGCTCATCAAGAAACAGAGCCTCTGTAGTAGCTGAAGGAACAGCTAAGAAACTAACTGGGGAAATGGGTGGGAGTCAGACTACAGAAGGCTAAAATGCAGAAGGCATTCAATAACAATGTCTGTACACTACACAGGAAGACAGAACAAAAGACAGGTGCTACTACAGGAACTGTGCTGAACAATTCTAAAAACACTCTTGAAAATTCTGTGAAGAATGGGCTGAAGATAGAGCTCAGTGGTAAGAGCACTTTCTTAGCATGCATGAGTCCCTGAGTTCAATCCCCATCGCTAGAAGAAAAATATAAAATAACACAGGAAGAATACTCCATCAACATTCCAAAAATGAGGACAAATAAGGCTCAGAGAGATCAAGTAACTCACCCACAGTCCTGTCAATAAAAAGGATAGTAAAAAATTACACATGACACAACAAGCAGCAAAAGGTAATGTAAGCAGAGGAAAAATAAATAAAATCCTATAAGGTTAAAAACTGGAGACAATCCTAAACCCATTTCTATTCTGCAGATAAGCGGAAGTCCTTACTCATTTCTCTCCAACATTTCATCCTGACAACAGCTCAGGTCCTTTGCCCTCAGAGGCACTCCACCTCTCAAGGTCCTAGATCTACTTAACTCCAAAAAGCAAAGTAGCAAAGAATCTCTCTCACAACCTAAAACTTCTAACACAGGACCCCCACTGTTGGGGGGGGTCAGATGGTCCTCAGAGTGCATACTACCTCTGCTACTCAGCACATCCAACCTTCTCTGACCAGCACAACCTAGAAGTACTCTCAAATCACAAAGACCTCCCAGCTACCACATGTTCTAGTACTCATTTTAGAGTCACAGAATACTAGATTAAGAGACCTCCAATCAACCTGACCTCCAATCAACCTCCTCACCTGACAATAGGTGAAGTGACTCTCCCAATAAGCTATATAAGGAACAGGACACAGCTGGCTTTCCCAATTCTTATACTGAGGACTTCTACTTAGCAGCACTTCCCAAACTGAACTCCAAGATAAACACCAAGTTATCAAAAATGGCATGTTTTCTTAAAACATACACTACCTTCTAGAATGGAATGCAATTTTCACATATATCATTTATGCTAAGGGTTCTTCAAGTTGTACATCCATACTTGCTTAGACTGGGAAGAAATGTGTGAGACACCCTACACTAACTATACCAACAGTCCTCTCCCCAAAATATCAGAGGAAAGCTTTCAAGTTCCAGAAAGCAGTCCAACAACACTCCCATCCAACCCATCTTTGCCTATGTTCACAGAGAGCTGAAGCATCCCACCTCAGGTGAGGGAGTCACAGAAAGGAATCTTATGAGAGCCAATCAGGAACAGAAAAAAAACCCTAAGAGGCAGATAAATGGAAATGGTCAGGAGATGACCTACCCCCACCCAAAGATAATGCTGTGCTGTTATCAAACCACTTAATCTGATTCAATATTTTATTGTCCTACCCTCAACACCTTTGCCAATATAGAAATCACCTTTACAAGTCTCCTGCCACATGACCTTCTGTGAAAAYGATTACACAGAACTCACCCATATTTATCCAACAAAAATGGCCAAAGAATGTACTTTAAAAGTTTCTTGGATAATGCTGATGTTTGCGAACGACTTCCAGGGGGATAAAAAAAAAGACACCCCTTTTAGTCATCTGCTGGAGACTTGCCCCTTGGTTTCTGTGAAACATACTGCCCTTCAATGATTATTCCCCAAAATGTTCTCCACCTCTGGTTTTTCTACTTCAAATCTCTCCAGTCCTCCATCTCCTGCAAGATTTGGTCCTAGGCTGAGTATGGTGGTGCACACCTGTAATCCCAGTGACTCAGGAGGCTGAGACAGGAGGATTCCAAGTTCAAGACCAGCCTGGGCAACTTAGTGAGACCCTGACTCAAAATAAGAAGTAAATAAGGGCTAGTTGTAGCTCAGTGGTAAAGCACCCCTAAGTTCCATTCTCAGTACTGCCAAAAATAAAAATAGAAAGAGGAAGGCCAGGCACAGTGGCACACACAGCGATTCGGGAAGCTGAGGCAGGAGGATTATCAGCAACTTGTCGAGGCTATCAGCAACTCAGCAAGACCCTGTCTCTAAATAAAATACAAAAAAGGGCTGGAGATGTGTGGTCCAGTGGTTAAGCGCCCGTGGGTTCAATCCCCAGTACCAAAAAAAAAAAAAAAAAAAGGAAAGGATTGTGCATATAGCTCAGTAGCAGAGTGATTGGGGGCAGAGGGCACAGAAAGATTTGTAATCAAAAAGCAATCTTTTACTGGACACAATGGTACACACATATAATCCCAGCAGCTCAGGAGGCTGAGATGTAGCTCAGTGTTTAAGTGGCCCTGAGTTCAATCCCTCCTCCAAAAAAAAGTACCCTCCAAAGAAAGCTATGATGAATAAGCTGTGTGTTCTTATCATATCATTCAACCTTACTGAACTACCACATAAAATTCAACTTTATTTCAGAGATACTTTGAAGATCAAGAAACAAGATTTCATTAAACTGCCATAATGTCCTGCTAAAAACCACCTATGRCAGCTCTCGGATCATACAGAAGGTACTTGGGCCTCCAATAAGGCTGAGGAATAATGGCCTTTGATTCTGAAATTGAAACCCTAATGGAGTGCCAACCTCACTTCTCACCTGACCATCATTATGTTTGTAGGTACTGGGTCATTCTAAGCTTTGGTTTCTTCCTGGAGGTGCTAAAGAAAGTAAAACCTGATCATCATCCTGGAGCCTGAAATAAGATTTCAGACAGAAATACGAAGCACTTTATAGGTGCTAGAGAACCATGGGAGGTATCAGCAGTATTTTCATCTTCTCAGGTTCCTACACTCAATGCTCACCTGAATACTTCTTTCAATTTTGTCAAAAGCCCCATCTCTCTTACAAAACCTTCTCAATTCCCTATTCCTTTCCTTTCAACCAGCTCTATTGCTTAAGTGGTCCTGCAAGTTCTCTATTATATTCTGTGTTTTATTTTCTTAACTGTAAGCGTCACAAGTAACAAGACCAGTATTTAAACACCCACATCACCAGTGTCTGTGACAGCCGACTGTAAAACATATTGAGAAAATGCTCATTACTACATTCAAAAGGACCCGGTCAACCTCATTCAATAAGAATTAAGAGTGCTTCAAACACACACACACACACACACACACACACACACACACACACAAATTAACCTGGGATGTATAGATTTAAATCCAAATGCAAATTTAATAATCATATCGACCTGGGATATCATATTTGAACAAGCGGCCACACCCACAGATCAACACATTACTTCAGTTATCCTTGCCACCTCTGGTCTGGTAGCTCTGGAACGTGCAAGTTTCTGCTACTGTAAATGTCTTTCCTCTGGTTCTCCTAACGCTGTTTTCACCTTACATCCAGCAGTCCCCCTCACTGTGTAGTCCCCCTCACTGTGATCGTAAGCGTGAAGCAGGGCCAATAGCCGCCTGGCTGCTACGGACACCAAGGTACCTCCGACATAGGGCCAGAGATGCTCCCACCGCAGAGCAGCCTGACATCTGATCCGCACAAGTTACCCACGGCCATTCGTTCGGGGTCACCTCGGCGATCCCGGGGAAAAGCGGAGGCCTGAGAGGAGCTGCGCACAGGGTCGAGGGTATGGGATCCTGGCCCGGTGCCGGGCGGTGTTAGGGACGAGACCCCACGGCCCACACGTTCCCCTCCTCACCTGCAGCACCAGAGCTTGTGCGGCCCCGGGCGGGAAGCCCATGCGGTCCGATGGGTGGCGCAGCAGGCGGTAGAAATCAGTCTTGCGGTAGAGGAAGCCGAAGAGAACGCGCAGAAAGTCCTGGACATTGCCCACGTGTTGCAAGATGCCCAGCAGGGCCTGGTCATATAGTTCAGCAGCCCCGGGCTCCATGTCTCCGCAGTCCGAGGGACCCCACCACCGGTACCAACTCAGACCGGCCAATTGACCACTTCCGGCGTGCGCTCCTAACGGCTCCCCCGGACAGCGAGGCCGTGGAACTTCCGGTCCGCGCCTGTTCCTGTCTGCAAACCGAGTATGCTCTCCGCGGCCCCCGCGGCCCCACTGGGCTTTGCCCCAGAGCAGCATTCGCTAAAAGAGCCTGACGTGAGCCCCCTTGTGGCTCCTACGCACAAGAAAGCCCATGGTTACTGGGCAGAGCGTGCCTGGCGGCCATGTTCGAAGAGGGCGGAAGAGTTGAAGTGAGTAGCATCACATGATCGGTTGGTTTTTGTCATGTGTTGTGATGTTAACTTCCCGCCCAAATATCTCTAGCCCCTAGGTAAACCTGGGACCGTGGTGCTTGTTTAGTTGTTAGTAGGTCGGAGAAGGGAAATTCTGTGCTTGTTATTTGTATGAATTTCTTATTAATACAGGGCTGTGGTCAGGCGAGATGGTGCAGCCCGAAGGCTGAGGCAGGAGGATTTCCAAATTAAAGGYCAGCCTCAGCAATTTAGCGAGGGCCCAAGCAATTTAGAGAGAACTTGTCTCAAAAATAAAAAGAGCTGGGAATGTGGCTCTGTGGTAAAGCGCCCCAGAACACCCGCACCCCCCCCCCAATAAAAGAGTCTGAGTGAAACTCAGGCCTGTTGCAACAGAAGAAATTAAAGATGACTTTAAAAGGACAAGAAAAGAAACATAGAATGCATCCACTTATAAGTTGGAAATGCCCCGTGCAAAATAAAGAATCTAATATGCTATCATTGTGAAATAAAAGTCTGTGTTATGTGTACTATGATATATAGCTATGTGTCATATGTACCTAAGTGTGTGTCAAAGTATAATCTCAAAAAAACTTTACCAGAGATGTGGTAAAACTGCTTCAAAGAATTTTTTGAGGAACTGGGTGTTTACAGATATCTTAAGAAAATGTTAAACGTAAGATGGTTGGAATATATGCTAATCAGGTTGGTGTTCTACAAGATGATAAAACTGTAGGTAATCATTTCTAGTGGACAAATGACTTAACACCTCTACTGGACTAAAATCCTGACAGCACCTTGATCTTGAACTTCCAGCCTCTAGAACTGTAAGAGAATACATTTCTGTTAATCCACTTTAGTCTATGGTGCTTTGTTACAATACCCTAGCAATGCAAGTACTTTGATTTCTGTGAGACAATTACAGTTTTACCTTCTTTGCTTTGGGGCCATTACCACCAATGCTAACATAGTAAAAAGGCAAATAATATTGTTATTTTGACCTTGAAAGCAAACCAACACCACCACCCCACCACCCCGCCTCCCGGAGGGTTCACATACTACATTCTGAGAATCTCTGCCCTGAAGAAGTAATGAATTGTTGGGTGAGCCTCAATAGACTTTGAAAGAACTTGCGGTCATCTCACTATATTTCAAACTTTTCAATAATTTCTTTAGCATTTAAAATTATCATAAGAAATAAAACAATCTCCAGAGGGGGAAAATCAACAGAAATTGCAGTATAAAAGAAAACAGTTGTGACTGTATGACTAATGTGATGCTACAATATGTATACTCAGAAAAATGAGAAATTATATCCCATCTATGTATGATATATCAAAGTATATAAATGCATTCTATTGTCATGTATGACTAATTAAAAAATAAACAAGCATTTTTTAAATTAAAAAGATAACAGAGACTTACTTTTGAATCTGATACCACATGCATTACCTATTCAAAAAGTATATAAAATTATTTTGAAAATAAAGTTAATAGGGGGCTGGAGATGTGGCTCAGCGGTAGCGCGCTCGCCCGGCGTGCGTGCGGCCCCGGTTCGATCCTCAGCACCACATACCAACAAAGATGTTGTGTCCGCCAAGAACTAAAAAATAAATATTAAAAATTCTCTCTCTCTCTCTCTCTCTCTCTCTCTCTCTCCTCTCTCACTCTCTCTAAAAAWAAATAAATAAATAAATAAATAAATAAAGTTAATAGAAAGCTAAATATAATCCTACAATACGATCCAGCAATTGTGCCCTTATGTATTTACCCAACTTATTTGAAAATTATGTCCACACAAAAACCTGCAATAAATATTTATTGCAACTTTATTCATAATTGTCAAAACTTGGAAGCAACTAAGATTTCCTCAATAAACGAATGGCTAAGCAAAGTGTGGTATATTCATAAAACAAAATATCACTCAGCAATAAGAAAAAATGAGCTATACAACTACCAAAAAACTGGATTAATATTAAATGCATGTTGCTAAGAAATAGAAGGAAGTCAGAAAATCCTATCATCCACTTACATGACATTATGGAAAAGGCAAAATATGGAAAGAGTAATAAGATCAGTGATTTCCAGGCCTCAGTTGTGAGAAAAGATTGAATAGGCAAAGTATGGGAATTATTTAGGATGTAAAACTATTCTGTGAGATATTAATTATGGATATATGACACTGTAAATTTGTCAAAACTCAGAAATCTAAGGTGTAGAGTGTTAATATATGCAAAATTGCTTAGGAAATTGAGGGATCTGAGAACAGAATGCAGAATATGACAAATGTAACAATGTAACTTTATTACAAATATGTGAAACATCTTATCTGAAGGGAGTAGTAGAAAGATAGTGACCTAAGTAACTTTGGAAATGAACAGAGTCAATAAGACTGAAGGCAAAAGGAACAGTACACAGACTTTGAACTGTGGCCAATAAGAGTTTATCACAAGGGGTTGGGGTTCTGGCTCAGAGGTAGAGCACTCGCCTACCATGCGTCAGGCACTGGGTTTGATCCTCAGCACCACATAAAAATAAAATAAAATAAAGATATTGCATCTACCTACAACCAAAAAATAAATATTAAAAAAAGAGTTTAACACAAGTATCCTTGTGTTTCCCAGAAGAATATAGATTATCAGTTCTGAAATCACTAGATATAGGGTGGAAAGAACAATCAAGTAAATGGTTGCGGGTAGTAGAAGCCAGATTTTTCACTGTTGGAGTAGGAGGTTACAGAAAAGCAAAGGAAAGAGGCTAGAATGATCCATGTGCTAATGAGTCTAAGTTGGAGACATTGGTATAAATTTAAGTTTAGCTTACTATAGATACATATGACTGCATGTAGAATCATTTATAGAACTGTGTCTGTGCTGGTTAGTGTACATGCATATTTCCTTGCTCTCAGCTGAAAGAATCCAGAAGCATTGCCTCAGCATCAATGAATACACCCCAGAACCCAGATCTTGGTTTCTAATATCATTCTCCAATAGAAAACCAGGACTCCTTGGAGAAGTGATTCTAGAATTACTGCAGAAAATATGCAAGATTAGTCTGGGTAATCTTACAGTGTCTCAAAATWAAAAAGCAGTAAAACACACAATTATGAGGTATGACAAAGGAATAAGAGTCAACTGAAAAGAGTGCCCAGTAACCAGAGCTGGAACAAGCCAAGCAACAAAATAAAGTAGCATTATATTAGAACACAAAGTACAAAATGAATACATATGAGTCCAAACTTATATTGATTGATATATAATACACATATACAGATATATAGATAAATATATATTTACATATATATATATGTCATACTGAACAAATAAATGGAAGAGAATAGTCAAATAGCTGTTCAGAATTGCAAATAGTGGCGGGCACGGTGGCACACGCCTGTAATCCCAGTGGCTCAGGAGGCTGAGGCAGGAGGATCGTGAGTTCAAAGCCAGCCTCAGCAACTTAGTGAGGTCCTAAATCAACTCAGTGAGACCCTGTCTCTAAAAATATGAAAAGGGCTGGGGATGTAGCTCACTGGTTAAATACCACTGGTTTCAATCTGAGGTAACAAAAAAAAAAGGAGGAGGAGGAAGAGGAGGAAAGAAGAATAATTCCAAATAGTATATGTAGATACTTCCACTCATKGAGATGAAACATGACTTCACTCCTTATGCTTGGGATATGCATAGTGACTTTTTTCCTAATGGTACAGTATAAAAAGAGGGTTACTTACCCTTTAAGCAACCTGTAAGTAACCCTTATGTATACACAAAACATACATATATGTGTATGTATAACTTCATAGAATTGAACAAATGTTAGAGATAAAGAGGCATATTTTGTAGATATTTCATAACTATAAAAGTTTCTATTAATCAAGATGCTATAACATTCCTAAATTAGTAGTCATCTATTGGATATATTGCAGTTTGGATATGAGGTTTGGATAAGCTCATATGTGAGATAAAACAGGAATGTTCASAGGTGAAATGATTAGATTTGAGAGTGGAAATCTAATCAGTGGGTACATCTTTTGATAGGTTAATAATTTGAATGGATTAATGGGTGGTAACTATAGGCAGGTAGGGCATGGCAGGAGGAAGTAGGTCACTGGGAGTATGCTCTTGGGGATTATAGTATCCCTGACTTCTTGAACTCAGTCTCTTTCTGCTTCCTGGCAATAGTATTAATGACAAAGTAGTATTATATTAGAACTGAAAACATAAAATGAATATCCCTGAGTCCATACTGACATTGATTGATAGATAATATACACATGCAGATATATATGATTTATTATATATTGATACATAGAAACATGTCTATCATACTGAATAAATGGAATTCTCATTCAAAATAATTCCAAATAGTTTATGTAGAATGAGCCAAAATAAACTTTTCCTCTTCTATGTTGTTTGTGTCAGGTATATTGGTCACAGTGACAAAAAGCTGACTGAAACAGAATAGGATTTATTTTTGCCAGAATTTTTGTTGTTTTCAATGGGACAATTAGCCATATTATCCACGTAACCACTTCCTCTGTTTGGGTTGTCTTGATTTTAATCCCTGTTAAATATGTTACAAATATTTTTTTCAGTTCATTTATCTTTCAGCTTTCTTCACTATTTTTGTTTGTGCATATATTTATGCAAGTTTTCAACTACAATGTAGAATCAAACCTTTAGTCTTTACTTTTATAGCTTCTTATTCTGTTCTTATGAAAGTTTTTCCACCCCAAGATTATAATATATTCTTCTGTGTCCTCTTCTGACAGTTGTACAGTTTYCTTTTTATTTTTAGTTCTATAATCTACCTGTACTTTTATTTCATGTGTGGTATAAAGTATAGATATAACTTTATTTTGTTCCAAATGATTCCCCAACTGCTTTCACACTGTTTTGTTGTGTTGTTTTGTTTGTTTAATGTAGAGGGGTTTTTTTAACTTTGTTTTTTATCTGTTTATTTTTTTATGTGGTGCTAAGGATCAAATCCAGTGCCTCACGTGCTAGGCAAGTGCTCTACTGCTGAGCCACAACCCAGACCCATAAATGTAGGGTTGTTTTTTTTTTT